ATAGAAAGATAGATGTTACCGCCATACTATTTCTATTGGTTCAGATTAGACAACAAACACATGACTGAACCCTGATTAGATCAGTCCCTAAGGGACCGGCATACTAGAGAACAGCACTAGCAGCCAATGGAAACAGTCGAACACACCAAGATTTAAAGAAATTTTATTTCTAAGAATATTTTCTTAAGAGTTACCTGAATTTGTAGGAAGATGTGATGAGGACTAGTTTATGGGCATAGAACAACTGACCTGAAATACAATTCTTGAAACTTATTGAAAACTTATTTCTTGTTATTGTGTTACTCAGATACTAATATCTTGTCAATTGTTTATGTTTTTATTGGAACAGGAACAGACCTTCCTAATTTTAAACTCTGAATTCGGCTCAATCAAGAAGGCAGCGTGTGAAATGTCAAAGGTTTACACCATCAGGTTACAAAGCTGACTCATTTTTTAAGTACAGCAGTTTTTTAATGTAAAAGAATTGAGTCTTGATCACAAACTCAGATTTTTTAATCTCTTTATCGTTGCAATTCAATGTCCTTTGATATTTCAAACTATGAATTCTGTTAGATCAAATAAAGTTTGAAATATCAAAGGTTTACACCATCCGGTTGAAAATATATAGAGATTATAAAGTTCGAGTTTGTGGCAAAGACTGAATTCCTTTCCATTGTACAAGGCGTTGCGACACCTCAAAGTCGTCGCTGTCTTAAAATCTGATCAATCACCGTAGTTTGGATATAAGTAAAAAAATGCATTAGCATTTGCCGCTAATTTACCAATAGATCTCGAATTGGATTTGAATAAACAAAAAGATAGACAGTGCTTTTGGTCTTTGAAATTCTATTGGTCATGAGTACTCACTAAGGCACGTGAGTGAACCCTGATTGGATCAGAAACTACTGGATGTTTTAAACTAATGTGGAATAACTTTCATAGTTGTCACAAGATATCAAAATAAAGAAACTGAGTTCTTTCCACAAACTTAAATTTTCTAATCTCTTCCTTTTGTAAAACTATATATTCAAATTATTTTAACAAATTTAAACAACACCAATTATATTGATATCTTTGTGTGTGAATAAATCTTTACAATTTTACCACTTGATGAAGTATACTTGATGAAGTATACTTGATGAAGTATACTTGATGAAGTAAACTTGATGAAGTATACTTTTTATATTCTAAACTTAGTTTGAAATATCAAAGGTCTATACCATCGGGTTGCAAAGAAATAGAGATTTTAAAAAAGAGTTTGTTGCAAGAACTCAGTTCCTTAAATTTAATTTTAGTTATACCTTCCACTCTGAACTGTATATCTGATAGATCAGGGTTATTTACAAACTTTGGATCAATCCTAGACCCGGCGTTCATCTCTCCAGAGACAGGTTCGGTATACTCTAAACAAACATTTTTTAATAGAAAATAGTAGAAAATCTTAAATATTAATTCGACACCGTTTATTGGTCTTTACTTTGATACATTAAAAAAAAAATTTCGAGAATTTTTTTTTTCATTATCAAACTCATTGAGATTTTTGCTTTTGTAAAATAAATCAATAATGTAAGCCATTAAAAATGTCGTCAAAATAAATCAAGATGGGTATCAAAATATAAGTCTTAAAACACCGAATAAAGAAACAACATAGATTCTGCCTGTTTATAGAAAGTCTCATCAATTTTTAAGACAAGGTCGACCAAGGTTGTAATGCAAGGAAAGCTATTTCAGAAGTGTACGAATCTGCAGTGTACTGTCTCTGGGCGGTAATGTAAACACAAGACGGATGTCGAAGCCTTTCATTGGATCCATCTTTCACATAAAAAAATCATTGAAATATTCTGGTCAGAGGAAACTGTTATGTGAATTATCATAATTTTCAAAATGTAATGCTTTTATCCTCCTCGGACACTAAACGAACACTTATGCATAAATTCTTGTTTACAAATTCCGCCCAGAGAGAACTGGTTTCAATATGTACGCAGAGTATACGCGATAGCAATTAACTTTCCTTGCATTATAACCTTGAGGTCGACTATGAAGTGTCGCAACGCTTTGGGCTTTTATTTTACCGCTATAATTTACTTGTGCTTTTCTGTAGCCCTTTACATGCACGTTTTAGCACTATAAAGCACATAATATTAGCTTTTATTTTAAAGAAGTAATTGGAAAAATTCTCATCGATTTATTCTATAGAGCTTTAGACCTTTAAATCACAGTAAAACGTGAAAATCGTAAAAGTTCATCGAAAATTAAGAACATTTTAAAACCCGGTATTTTGGAAACAAATTTGAATTTTGTCTAAGTAAAAAAAAATGGTTGTTTAACCAAAAATCAAACAATTTTTGAAATATCAAAAAAAACGCACAAAAAAGTATAAAAAGTAGCAATCATTGAAAACAAATAAGATTTTAACTTTACGTAAACAAAATCTAGCCAATGAAGGGAGATCAGTGATATTCGATAATACCATAGGTACTGTATCAAGAATAGGATATATAAGATTTCTACCCTATTCTATCTATTTTGTCTATTAAATAACAAGAATAGGATATATAAGATTTCTAACCTATTCTATCTATTTTGTCTATTAAATAACAAGAATAGGATATATAAGATTTCTAACCTATTCTATCTATTTTTTCTCTTGAATAACAGGCAGAGAGTAGGTCTGCAAGTAGGAGGGTACTTCCTTCCGTCCTACTCGTCCGAAACAGAGAGAAAAGTACAGGCAGGCACTCGTCTATAAAATAGGACGAACATTCTTCAGTCCATTCCTTACAGAAATCCTAAATAGATTTAATAAATAGAATGATAGATAAATGAATCTACATAGGCTTAGATAGACAATAAAAGATAGATAGATGGATAAATAGATATATCTATATTTACATATAGATAGATAGATAGATAGATAGATAGATAGATAGATAGATAGATAGATAGATAGATAGATAGATAGATAGATAGATAGATAAATAGATAGATAGGTATATAGATTTAAATATATATATAGATATATAGATAGATAGAAAGGTAGATAGTTAGTTAGATAGACAGATAGATAGATAAATAGATAGATAGATACCTGTAGGAGTTCGTCTGCTACTGAAGTAAGACCAGCATGATGAGCTGTTATCAAGGTTCTGATCCAGGAGTGTACACTCCACGGAACTCCGAAATTACGCAAATCTAAAGAATTCAAATTGTAGGAATCAAACATCATGACGCCCTTAAATCTTTCCTATTTAAGTGAATTAAAGATTTGCATGTAAAATTCACAATTTTCTCCGCAGGGACCATTTTAAATCGTGCACACTCCTATTTAAACGGTTTTTCATTTAAAATTACGTGACGAACCTTTTAATGATCAAAAGTATGAAAGATTTTCTGAGAATTCTAATAACAATATTATTCTACAAATTACAAATGCAATTGTCTCATCAAATAATTGAATTATGCTGATATTTGATTAACTGAATCAAATTACACAAATCCGTGTAATTATTTACTATGAAGAATGACAATGTTGTGCATAGTTGATCCTAAATATTTCGTGTGTCGGTTGAGCGAGGGGAGGAAGGCAACCCACACCCGTTTTGCCTCCCCGACCCAAAACACTATAGTTTCAGTAGAAGAAAACATTTCCGTTTAGTGTTGTAGCGCCGATATAAGGATTTATCTCTAATTAGATAATGAGATAGACAGAAAGATAGATGTTACCGCTATGCAATTTCTGTTGGTTAAGAATAGAAACCAAACACATGACTTAACCCTGATTGGATCAGGCTCTAATGGACTCGGCATACAGGAGTGAAAAATGACTTCATAAAATGGATTTTCGTCATTAAGTTTTGTGACATCATTTGTGGGTCGGAGGCAAGAATAGGAGTGGGTTGCCTTCCTTCCCTCGTTTGGCGGATTTTCTAATTTCCGTTGATTTTTCTCCCTTTGTAGACAAAAACAAATTGTATACTTATCATGTTGAGATCTTATACGTTTTATCAATTTATTCATTGCACAATGTACATTGTCAAGGAGAATGCATGGAACAGTGGAATAAATATAATTCTTAGTTTTGATAATGAAATTTCGCTTGTAATAATTGTAATAATTGTAATAATTGTAATAACTAATTTATGTCTAAAATTTGTAAAGCAAAGTTATCAAAATAAATCACAAATTCGGCATTTTATGATAAAAAAAGACAAGAAAACAACATTTTAATGACTTATATTAAATGTACAGTACATCGTTATCAAGATTTAGTGCTATTTACAAGAATTTCCTTTTTTGTTCATTGAAATATTTAAATCCTTACCTAATGTAATGTGAATATTCCCTGCCTCGGTACTATGATACATTGCTTCCTGGAGTCTTTTTACATTGCCCTTTGTCAGCCTAGAAATATAATTATTTAGAGATTATTCCTTTTTGTCAGCCTAGAAATATAATTATTTAGAGATTATTCCTTTTTGACAGCCTAGAAATATAATTATTTAGAGATTATTCCTTTTTGACAGCCTAGAAATATAATTATTTAGAGATTATTCCTTTTTG